ACTATTATTACTACTATGTTTACTACTACTATTACTACCACTATTATTACTACTATGTTTACTACTGCTATTACTACTACTATTATTACTACTATGTTTATTACTACTATTACTACTACCATTATTACTACTTTGCTTACTACTGCTATCATTACTACTTTGCTTACTACTGCTATCATTACTACTTTGCTTACTACTACTATTGCTACTACAATTATTACTACTACTATTACTACTATTATTACTACTACCATTACTACTATAATTATTACTGCCTACTACTTTTATTATTATTATTATTACTACCATTACTATAATTATTACTACTACTTCATCTAAAATCGCTACTCCTATTACTACTGCTATTACTATTGCTACTACTATACAAATTCTATTATTATTACAATTGCTACTTTTATCACCACTACTATTATTATTACTATTACTACTAAAATTACTGATACTACTACTACTCTTACTTTAGCTACTTCAGTTATTATTAACACTACAATTACTGTTACTACTGCAACAACTATTAAACTACTTAAACTATTAGCACCACTACAGCTACTACAATTAATATTATTGCTACTTTTGCTAGTAGTACCACCACAGGTTCAGGTTCAAGTCCTCTTCCAATTACATTAAAACTTTATCTGACAAACAAAACTATGAACTAAATGTTGTCCATTTGTGAAACCGTATTTGGCTAGGCAAAACTTGCTGAAAGCTGAACCATTTACGGGTAAATATAATTTTGAAAAGTTTTATCATTTGGCAGTTGTGGACAGGATTGCACATTTGTAGATGTTAATTAGAGATACAAATTCAAATGCGAATAAACATTTATGAATGCAACGGCCGTGTAATATGCCGAGCTTTGCATATCTGTTTGCCAAATGAGTTTGAGTCGAGCAAACAGATGCCGGCGGAATCTGAATGCGACTCTGACTAATAGAGTTTGCCTGCTAGCCAGCTATATTAATTAACTGTAGTTGCTTGTAGTGCAATGTGCTAGTTGGGAAATGTTTTCGGTAAATATTTAAGCGCAATTGTTGAACTTTTTACTAGCCGCTGCTGCTGTTGCTTGTTGGTGTCTGCAAGGGGTCAGTTAACCCGAATGCCCAAGCCGGACTAATCAAATACGAATTCGTGCTGGCGCCCAGTAAGTCATGTATTATAGATGCGGCAAATGCGAACTTTTTGCTCCCAGGCGTTAACAGGCGCTGCCCAGCCAGAGCCGGAGCTAGAGCTGTACAGTAGAGCGCATAGCAAATGACATTTGTGCCACATCACGCCCAAAGTTTAGCAAACACAGGCAAACCAAGCTGCCTCCCTGCCAGCCAGCCAGCCAGCCAATCCTCAGCTGCTGTCGACCCAGACCCCATCCTGCCAGGCCCAGGCCTTCGCCAATGCATGCGAAATTGAGTAAGAAGCACGGCAAACGGTTCCTTTAACCGATGGTCGATGTAAATAGTACAAAACAGCGCACTTTATGAACGCCAGCCAGGGCTAGGGCTAACGGGAGGCTGGTGGGGGCTGGTAGGGGTCGGTAGCTCAAAAATCCACTTCATCGACGTTGGCGCGGAAAAGTGTGTCACCTGCAGGACAGCAGAGCGCATGTCCTGTGAGCGCGCTGGTGAAACGAATTTTTTCAACAATTCGACTTGGACTTGAACGTGGGATTTCGTGCGAGTTGGCCAGAACGCAGTTAGACGTTGTAGCGCGTGGTTGTGCCAAACGGAAGACAACGCCAGTCAACAGCAAAATCAAATAAAAGACAACAACCAATAATAACAGCAACAACAACAAGAACGACTAGAACTAGAACAGCAGCCAGGCGAACGAGAAAATTGTGAGCAATTTGTAATTTTACATACTATATATTTTACGCGCGCGACTCCAAGTGCATGTGTGTGTGTGTGTGTCTGTGTCTGTGTGTTGCATGAGTGTGAGTAAGTCTCTCAGTGTGTGTGTGTTGAGTGAGTGAAGTCAGCCAGAGGCTAAAAAAGAAACAAAAGCGCCACAGAAATCCGCTCAACGACAGCGTGCGAAAAACTTTGTTCTGTTGATTTTTGGCAACAAATCGAAAAAAAAAACACAGATAACAAAAACAAATGAACTGAATGCAAACGACAACAATAACTACAATAAAGTGTGACTAACACAAACAATCAGATCAACTCAACGCCTCGCAAATCAGTCAAACATATAGCTCTATATAAATATATGTATGTATATCTGCCTGCATATTGAGTAAATATTGGGACATGTCAGTGGTTGACGGGGCTCGAAGGAAATCAAACGGAAAACGAAACTGAGAATGAAACTGAAAATCAATGCCTTTTGCGAATGAAAGGCAAATATATGCATGTATGTATGTATGTATGTAAATATGTATGTGTGCTTGCTTGCGCTGCGTATACGCGATGTGCACGAAGGTACAGAAATAGGAGCCAGCAGAACTCAAATAATAATAAAGCGAATTCTCACGTGACGCATAAAGAAAACAGCAAACACACACATACAAAGTAAAGAGAATATGCGATATACTATAAGCTTTAAGGCAACTGGCGCACACACACACACACAGTTGCACACCTGGCTGCTGATTATGTTGCATACTTTTAGGGGCAGTACAAAAATGACAAACAGCAACAGCCGCATTTTGCATACATTGAATTTAATGAACTTTGTATGTATGTTAGCGAGTGTGTGTGTGCTTGTATGTGTGTGTGTGCTGTAATACCGCATTTTGCTTTTAATAATTTAGCGCACTCAGTAGTAAATGGCGCGTTTAAAGCATGAAACGTCAGGCGAACCCAAAAGCAGGAAAAAAATTGCCATTTAATGCCGCCTGAAAGTGTGTGTGTGTGTGTGTGTGTGTACGCGTTAGTGTGTTGGTGTTGCTGTGCAATAACAACCCCAGGCTAAAAGGCACACTAACACACTTTAGCCAAACTCTGTTACTGAGGACTACGTCATCCTAGCCAGCCAGCCTGGAGCTGCCTTTGGCAACGTCGCGTCGTCACATTTGCGCATTCACAATCACATCGCGTGGCATAGGCCTGGCCTCAGCACACATACACTCACTCATTAGTGTGTATGTGTGTGTGTGTGTGTGTGTGTGGCATGTGAAGTTATACGTACTTGCCCCGGGGCTTGGATCGATTTGGGATAGACATTGCGGCAGCTGCTGCAGTTGCAGAAGTTGCACTTGCCACATGCCACTTGGCCATCGGGCTGCAAGTATCTGCAGCCGTCGTACACGTCATCAATGGCAATATCAAATCGAATTTCAGCCCAAAATGCCCAGACTATTGACAATTTGCTCAGCAAACAGTAAATGCCGGCGGCACTGCTGCCGTTGCTGTTGCCGTTGCTGTTGCCGTTGTTGTTGGTGCTGCCAAGTGTTGCAGTAAATTTTGACATTATCAACAAAGCCCCCCCCCAAAAAAAAAGGTCTGACCCTTGACCTTAGCCAGGGGCAACAGCATATGTCAGCCCGCTGGATGCTATGGCTTAGCATTCGCTTTCGATTTCCTAGCCAAATTATTTGCCATCAAATCGCATGTCGCCTGCCTTGCTGGCAGCCCATATCCTTGTCGCAGAGTTTGCGTTTATAATTTATATTACTTGTTCGTTGCCATTGTTTCAGTTGTGCTTGGCCTTGTCTAGATGTCTGTATGTTTCGCTCTCTCTCTCTGTGTGTGTTTGTGTAAGAGTGTGTTTGTGTTTGTGTGTGTGTGTTGTATCTGAGACCTTTAAGTATGCCCAGTGGCATTTGGCGCTCTGTTGGCCCCGGGGACGGATTTTAGGCTCTTTTATGACTATTAAAATATGCATTTAAATATATATCCTCTTATGCCTCTTCATACATGTATGTGTGTGTATACGCCTCTATGTTGAAAATTGAAATTGTGCGGTTATTTACTGAACGTCTTGGCGTTGATTGCCGTTACGCCCCATTGCCTGGTACATGACTATAATAATGATTGCAATTTTATGACCCAGCCGGGATAAACTGCCGTCGGCCGACAAAATTTTGCTTTGCCCTCGTCCATCAATCCTTTGCCTAAGCTCTCTTGAAGCGCTTTCGAGTCCCAAATGTTTCAAGCTGCACTTACAGCATAAATTTTGGATAAATATATATGTCCTACAGATTTAAAGAGAGCTGTATCTTTTATATAAATGGCTGACAAGTTAACGAGCTTAGAAAACAAATTTCACTTTAGCTTAACGAAAGGTCAGAGATTCGATTTACATCACTTCTGTCATCAATTGATGAGGCTTTTCTTTATACATATATGTGTAAATGATAAAAGGGGGTTTGTTCAATTGTATTCCAAAAAATATTTCCTTGATTAAATAACCAGATACCGTGATGCGGAAATTATATTTAATTCTGGACTGATTTTTTTCAGGTTTCTCATACAATATATAGCGGGCTAAAATCAAGATCTTTGCATTTTGATATCATATATAAGAAACTTGACTTGAAACTTACTTGATAAATAAATAAAAGTGAAAGATGGTGGAAAAAATGTTAATATATGTATATACATATACAATATTATCTTATATCATATCTATATGATTATTTTATTATGCAATTTGTAAATGTACAATATATATAATGATAGATATAATATAATATATCATAATATAATATAATATAATATAATATAATATAATATAATATAATATAATATAAT